TGCATTGCAGGACTTATTTCTCTAATTAGACCTAAAAGTTTGTTTCAGATAAGTAAATTTTTCTGCAGCAGCCAGAATCAGATCAGCAGCAGGTTTTGTTGTATTTATCCATTTAAATTGAGCAATCCACTTCTTTCTTTGTTTTATACCTTTTAAAATTTATTATTATAACTTTAAATGGATTAGAGATAAAGTGCTTTATGGTCTACCTCAGTGTATCTGCCTATACTAGGGCTCAGAGTAATGACCTCTTCAATTATTTATATCTGTGCCAAAATAAATGTTAAAGAAATAAACATTAGGATGCCCAAAGATCTCTAAATTGTGTGCATGTGAGCATGGGGAGAAGATGGTTCATTAAGCTTGAGTTTTGGGTTATTGTTGTTTTAAATAATGTTATTTTTATCATTTTTCCTATTGGCTGCCTCCTAACATGGTTCCTATTTTACAGATAGACGAGAAGCAAGGAAATTCTTTTCTTTGTTACTATTGTGGATTTCAGCCCTTCAAATTCACCTTTGATAAAGAAGAAAATCAATATGTGACTTACAGTGCATATTCACTATAGGTCTAATATCTCACACTATCTGAAGTTATAGTGTTCAGTGGGAAATGTTGCAACACCAGAAAATTCCTATTTCTTTAGTGGAAATTGAGATGACACAATTTGGTCTGAGGATGAGAAGGAAAATTCAAGGGCATTTAAAAAAATTTCCATCTGATGCTTCAAGCTTGAATTCTTTTTTTAACTTTATTTTCATTGTTAACAATATTACAGATGTCCCCATCCCCCGCCTCCTTTGCCCACCTCCACCAAGCCCCCAGCCCCTTCCCTGTGGCCATCACTATACTGTTTTCTGTGCCTATGGGCTATGCATATATGTTCTTTGGCAAATACCTTCACCTTCTTTAATCCAATCCCTCCCCTCCCCTCTGACAGCTATCAGTCTGTTTCATGTATCCATGCCTCTGTTTCTATTTTGTTTGCCAGTTTAGTTTGTTCATTAGATGTCACATATAAGTGAGATCATATGGTATTTGTCTTTCTCTAACTGGCTTATTTCACTTAGCATAATAATTTCCAGGTCCATCCATGCTGTCTCAAAAGGTAAGATTTCTTCTTTTTTATGACCATGTAGTATTCCATTGTATAATAGCTTTTTTATCCACTCACCTACTGATGGATACTTGGGCTATATCCAGATCTTGGCTATCCTATATAATAAAAGCCCAGCGACCATAACAGTAGAATGACCAGAACGACTGCTCGACCAGTCACTATGAGGTGCACTGACCACCTCTTAGTCCCTTTGCCCGGCCAACAGGCTCCCATCTCCTGATGGCAAACGGGGACCCGGGGGTGGGTGGTGGGGTATGCAGGCAGAACCAGGCCAAGGCCCCCGCCCTCCCAGTCACCCCACACACAGAGGACGACATGGGCGTGGGGCCATGAGTGGGCAGGACCGGCTGACCTCTCGGTCCCTCCCCACTGGCTGTCAGGCTCCGATCACCCGATGGCAAACTGGGAACCCAGGTGGGTGGCGATGGGGGGCGGGGATGGCTGCCAGCAGCCAGGGAAGATGGCTGTGATCACAGGCTAGGCCTAGGAACTGTACCCACTCATGAATTTTGTGCACCAGGCCTCTAGTTGTAATAATGATACTATGAACACAGAGGTGCATTGTGATTCTTAGAAGTGGGATTGCTGAATCAAAAGGCAGTTCCATTTTTAACTTTTTGAGGAAATAACATACTGCTTTTGACAGTAGCTGCACCAGTCTGCATTCCAACCAATAGTTCACTAGGATTTCCTCTACTCCACATCTTCACCAACACTGTTGTTTGTTGACAGCTGTGAGGTGATACTTCATTGTGGTTTTAATTTACATTGTTCTGATGATTAGTGACATTGAGCATTTTATCATATGGCTATTGGCTATTTGTATGTCCTCTTTGGAGAGATGTCTATTAAGGTCCTTTGCCCATTTTTAAATTGGATTGTTTGTCTTCCTGTTGTTGAGTTGTATAAGTTCTTCATATATTTTGGAAATGGCCCCTTATCAGCGGTAGCACTGGTAAATATTCTCCCATATAGTGGATTCCATTTTCACTTTGATGATGGTTTCTTTTGCTGTACAGAAGCTTTTTAATTTTATGTAGTCCGATTTGTTTGTTTTTTTCTTTGTTTCCCTTGCTTTTGAAGATATATCAGCAAAAGTATTGCTATGAGAGGTGTGTGAGGTTTTACTGTCTGTTTTCTTCTTAGGATTTTTATGATTTTGTGACTTACATTTAAGTCTTTTATTCATTTTTATTTTATTCTTTTTTTTAAATTGTTTCATTGCTTAAAGTATTACAAAAAGTATTACATATGTCTCCCTTTTTTTCCCGCCCTTGACAATCCCCTGGCCTCCCCTCCCCCCAGTGTCTTATGTGCATTGGTTATGCTTATATGCATGCATACAAGTCCTTCGGTGGATCTCTTATCCCCCTCCCTCCTGCCCCCCAACCCTCCCCGGCCTTCCCACTGCAGTTTGACAATCTGTTTGAGGCAGCTCTGCCTCTGTATCTATTATTGTTTATAAGTTTATAATGGTCTTTATTATCCATGAATGAGTGAGATCATGTGGTATTTTTCCTTCATTGACTGGCTTATTTCACTTAGCATAATGCTCTCCAGTTCTATCCATGCCGTTGCAAATGGTAAGAGTTCCTTCTTTTATTTTATTCTTTTGTATGGTGTGAGTTGGTGGTCTACTTTCATTTTTTTCATGTACCTGTCCAATTTTCCTAACACCATATATTGAAGAGACTGTCTTTATTCCACTATAAGCTCTTGTCTCCTTTGTCAAATATTAATTGACCTAAAGGTTTTGGTTGATTTCTGGGATCTTTGTTGGGTTATATTGATCTATATGTCTTTTCTTATGTCAGTAACAGTCTGATTTTATTACAATGGCATTGTAGTATATTTTGATATCAAGTATTGTGATATTTTTAACTTTGTTCTTCTTTCTCAAGATTGCTTGAGGCTATTCAGGATCTTGTTTGGTTCCATATAAATTTTTGGAACAGTTGTTCTAGATTTGTGAGATATGCCATTGGTTTTTTAATAGGAATTGTGTTGAATCCATAGATTGCTTTAGGTAGCATGGACATTTTAATGATATTAATTATTCTAATCCATGAACATGGTATATGCTCCCACTTATCGTATCTTCCTCTCTTTCTTTTTTCAATGTCATATAGTTTTATGAGAACAGGTCTTTTACCTTCTTGGTCAAATTTACTCCTAGTTAACCTCATCTTCTTTTGGTGTTGCAATAGTAAATGAGATTATTTTCTTAGTTTCTCTTTTTGATAGTTTATTATTGTTGTATAGAAATACCACTGATTTCTAAATATTAATTTTGTATCTTGCTACATTGCTGAATTCATTTATTAGATCTAGTTGCTTCTTGGAGTCTTTAAGGTTTTCTATGTATAATATCATGCCATCTGCAAATAATGACAGTTTTACTTCTTCCTTCCATTTTGGGTATCTTTTATTTCTTCTTCTTGTCTGATCACTGTGACTAGGACTTCCAGTACTCAGTTGACATGCTTGAATTTTTAACCATTGTGTTTCTAGTCTCTGCTTGATAATCTCTAATAACATGAGTGCCTGGCAACCTTTCCATGTTCAGAGGCCTTTAACAATCAAAGTGTGTTTGTGATGTGTGTGTGTGTGTGTGTGTGTGTGTGTGTGTGTGTGTGTGTAGGGGAGAGGGAGAGAGAGAAAGAGAGAGAGAGAGAGAGAGAGAGAGAGAGAGAGGTTGTGCAGTGAGGGGGTAGAGGCTGACCTTGGCCCCCCTCTCCGTGTATATTTTGGACCATCTAGGGGACCCCATAATTAATACTTATGTTTGCCTTTCTAGTCTCTTTATCTAACAATCTGCTAGACATGCTAGACATAGACACAAATTCATCATTCCTTTTATTTCAAACATTCTGCATTTGCCCCATTACTTGTAAGAAAAAGCCCAAACTTCTAATTACAATATACAAGCCCTTTCAAAATCAGGTCTAATCTTGATTTCAACCTTATAAATAGCCAGTCTCCCCACACAAGCAATATATACTCCAGCCACACTGGTCTCTACTATTTCCCCCAAACACTTCTACTATTTGTTTATGCTGTTTTCACTCTTCTCTGCTTAGTGAAACCCTCACCATTCTTTAAGATCCAGATCAAATGCTACCATAAAGCCTTTCCTGACCCCACCTATGCAGAGTGATTGTTGTCTTTTTATTAATACCTCTGTTGTAACATTTATCAGATTGACATTTTAACTGCATAGGAGTATTAATTTATCCTCTACCAGACAGGGTTAAGACCCAGAAGAAAGGGCTTGCACTAGCTGGTTTGGCTCAGTGGATAGAGTGTCGGCCTGCGAACTGAAGTGTCCTGGGTTTGATTCCAGTCAAGGGCACAAGCCCAGGTTGTGGGCTCAATCCCTAGTAGGGGGGTGGTAGGAGGCAGCCAATCAATGATTATCTTTCATCATTGATGTTTCTATCTTCTTTTCCCTCTCCCTTCCTCTCTGAAATCAATAAAAATATATTTAAAAAAAAGAAAAGGTTTAACATGGAATCTCTATTGAATGAATGAATGAATGAATGAATGAATTGTGAATATATCTGAATAATTCAATGAAAGGTTCTAGGTATGAGTACTGAAGCTTACATTTATGCAGAGTCCAATCTAAGGATATACTAGGCCTGTCCTGCAAGGTGACTGGGGAGAAAACAAGATATAAAACTTTAGTAAAGATTTGGAGTGATGAGTCATTCATTCAACCAGTGCTAAACTGAGCATTTGCCTTCAAGGAGTTTAGAATCTCTGACCATGAAGAATGGACATCTTTATTTTCTTAGCTTGAAGGTTTTCTAACAGAGTAGCTGTGCTGTGTGTTTTTGATCACTTATAATAAATCCAAGTTTCCCTTTCCTCCCAATAGCTCGGAAGCTGAAGAAACTTGGTAATCTGAAACTGCAGGAGGAAGGGGAGGCTTCCAGCGCCACCAGCCCAACTGAGGAGCCAACCCAGAAGCTGGCGGTGTCACACATTGAAGGCTATGAGTGTCAGCCTATCTTTCTGAATGTCCTGGAAGCCATTGAACCAGGCGTGGTGTGTGCTGGACATGACAACAATCAGCCTGACTCCTTTGCAGCCTTGCTCTCTAGCCTCAATGAACTGGGTGAAAGACAGCTTGTACATGTGGTCAAGTGGGCCAAGGCCTTGCCTGGTAAGGAAAAGGAAAGTGGAGGCATGGGATTAAAGTGATAATATTTAGTGTATGCTCCTATGGGCAAGGCAGGTACCATGTCCTGTCCATTCCTGCCCATTAACTCATGCACTTCTCACCAGTACCTTGCGGGGGTAGAAAATGGTATAATCCCCACTTTAAAAATAAGGAAACGCCCTGGTCAGGTGGTCCAGTTGGTTGAAGCATCATCCCACCAAAAGGTTGCGGGTTTGGTTACCAGTCCAGGCACATACCTAGGTTATGGGTTTGATCTCCATTCAGGGTTTATACGAGAGGCAATCAATTAATGTTTCTCCATCACATAGATATTTCTCTTTTTCTAAAAATCAATGAAAAATATATCCTACACTGAGGATTTAAAAAAAGAAAGGAAACTCAGAAACCAAAGAGTAGAGCAGCATTATAGAGTGTCCCATATACCTCACATCAGCACACAACAATCATGTTTAATCTACAGACACAGTGTGAAATTTTCCTCATAATCACAGATTATATAGACATAACATTTATGTGTCTTAAGATGCATACACATGTTTACCCCAAAGATAATTTTGAGTCTGACTGGTATTATGTCTTCAATATTAACTTTAGGAACCATACCATGGACTTATAATATAGTATGGTAGAAAGAACATGGGGTTGGGAGTCAGAACATTTAGGTTCTAGTCTTAGTTCTGCTTGTAAATCATTGTGTGGTCCTTTCCCTTTATGGGTCTCAGTTTCTTTACCTGTATAATGTATGAAGAGTATTTTGGACTGAATTAATGTTTTTCAAACTTTGCTTTAAGGAACTTTAGTGCTTTTTAAAAACCTTAGGAATCATAGTGGGAGGAAATATTCAATGAATTCAATGATAGTGAAAGAAATACAATTTTTTTGTTGTAACTTCTTGGATACCTCCAGTGATGGGGAAATCACTTCCTCCTTAAGTCATCTGTTATTTGAACAGGACTGTTTATGAAAATATTATAGATCCTCTATCTAAGCATTCACAAATTTTCCTTTAGCAGCCAAACTTTGTATTTCTCAAAACAACATACACAGATACTACTAGAGCTGGTTGATTTAAAACCAGTGCCTCTCCCTCACTACCCCCAGAGAAGCCTCAAGTTACTCTTGCAGAATCTTAGGACTCCAGGGAACACAGTTTGGAAACCAGTGAAACATAAGCTCTGCCAGGATTCTCCTAGTCCTAAAATTCTGGGGTTCAAAGATTGTTTTGAAACATCAACAACCAATTTAATTCTTATGGAGTCAAAGATCAGCATGCCTTCTAATAACTGCTATTGAGAGGAAAATGTATAGAGAACAGAGAAATTTCATATGTATTACCCGATTTGGTCCTCATAAAATAGGGGTTTCCCCCTGACATTTTATAGATAAAATATACTGAAGCTCTGAGAAATGATATACTTCACTTCAGAATGTAGCAGGGCTAGAACTTGAGAGCCTAAGTCCCCTCCTGATTCCAGATTCCTTCCTCATCCCACTCCACCCATAGTCTGTAGTGTTCGTGTAGTTCTGTAGCCCTGGGCTTCACAGTAAGAGGCCAAGGCCTTATTCAAGGCCACTTGGGTCATAATGTAGACTAGCTGCTTTTGAAGACATTGCATGTTAGTTGCCAAACCCCAATTTTGTCTTTCCAACTCACAAGGCCCAGTCTCAGAAACCAGACCATCCCCAACACCTTCCCAGCTTGGGAAGCTGGAAGCTGAGGTTTACTAGCCAATAAGATCACTGGGAAGAAGGCCCAAGGTCTCTGGCTGTGTATACACTGTGCCAAAACAGAGGGTTCACACAGGGAGGAAAAAATACAAAAACTAAAAAGAGAAGGTTGTTTTAATTCTTATCACTTATTCAGCTGGATGTCTTGATATCATTTGTGTAACAGATTCAGTTTAATCTTTCCAAGCAGTTGCCAAGAACCTAAAAGTCCCATTTTATTGAATATAGAACCTTGTCCTATATATGATTCCATTTAATCCTCACAGAAATACTATGAATCATAAAGACTATTATTTCCATTTCAAATGACAAGGCTCAGAAAGGTTGACTAATTTGTTCCATTTTGGTTACTTAACAAATGGACCCAGAACTTAGACTCATACCCTCTGATTTCTAATTTGATGGTCTTAACAATAACCTATTGCAAATCATTTTGGCAGAATTTGTATGACTAGGAGTCATTGGCTTTCCTTAGTCCAACCCTCAGGATGGGGAGTCCTCTCATAATATTAACAAGTCTACAAGACAGTATCATTTCACCATCTACTTCAAGCAAGGAAATGACCTCTGACCCTAAGTCATTTAAAATAATAGTTTTTAAAAAGCCAGTTACCATGTTCACAAGACCTGTTGTTTATATTATCAATAATCACCTAGAAGTTCAAGTTATTTGTTCATTCAACAGATTGAGTTCCTGTCTTGTGCAAGGCACTATACTAGGCACCTACTCAGAAAAATTTTGTTTTAAACTTTTTGTGATGGTGATGATATATGTAAATTGCCTAGTAAGGTACCTAGTACATTAATAAGTGATAACTATTAATTGAGGGTGGGTGAGTAGACAATGTGTATACAGTATATTTGTAATCAGGTGTACCTGGTTTGGAATCTTAGCTATACACTAATTAGTTGTTTGACCATGAGCAAATCACATGTGCTTCTGTTTCCTCATTTGTGGAGGTGGTACAACAATCTCTACCTTGCAAATTGTTATCAATATAGAAACTGTATATAAAGTACACCTAGTACAGTAGCTGAAACATAATAGATGCTCAGTAACTAGTAGGTCATTATAGTGAGGCTTGAGTGCTCTGCCACTGCTTTCACTCATATATCAATTTAAGTTGCCACATGCATGGGTCCCAATGATGAATTGTTTTCTTTGAAGATGTTGACTGTCTGGTGCACTAGAGCAGCATAGATTTCCTATCTGGACCTTCTTTGACCATGTGCTCCCTGATAAGACATAAGACTACAGGTTTCCACTGCAGATTGCTAAGAAATGATGTTGATTGGATTCTAGTGAGAAAACAGAATCTCAAATAAATTGCCTTTACATCTAAACCTATTTGGTGTGTTTCAAAACCTGAAAATGACTCCTATTTCTCCTGAACAGCCTAACACAGTGCCAAACAAGTGTTTGAGTGAGTATGTGCTGAAGGAAACCTGTAGGCTGGAGCTACTGTTTCCTCAAGTCATTCATTCCTTGATAGCTATGCTCTCTGAGCAGGTTTCTTCAAAGGCTGGACATTAGAGAACAGTGTTAGGTATTGTAATCAGATTAGACCTATAGAAAAATTAGCCAACTCTGTTGCTGATGTATAGACAGTAAATAGGCTTGAGTGTTAAGCTGCTCTCAGTAAGGACCATAAATTAGTGTTACAGCCAAACTAAATTTTTCTTTTTGCTCTTCTTTGTTAGTTCTCTGCTATCTCAAGGATGGGAAAAGAAGCCATCAGTATAGAAAGCTTCCTTGGTACTTGTACAGTTTAAACCTCATCACCCCTATGCACCTTAACATTCACACACTCACCAGCCAAGGCTTTACTTGCTTTCCATTGCCTCACATCTCAGAGGTTCAGGGTTCAAGTTTCCAGGTCCCCTCTCCAAGAGATGCTTAGATGCTTCATGCTTGGCCCCTGCATTTATCTCCTACTAGGAAGAGTCAGTACCAGGCATTCTATCCTGAAGCTTCAGTGAGGAAATACTCTGGGGTCTGTGGCTCCAGCTAGTCTGTAAAGATGGGAGGCACGGGCCTTGGAGCTAAGATTGCAGCCAAGGATGGTGATATGAGGGACTCTAGAATCCCTGATGTCTGATAGGCTTAGGACATAAAAGAAAGGAGAAATGGGGTGTGTGGGTGGGCAAGGATCAACCAAGCCTTACAATGTGTTTAGATATTGTAGACTTTAGGCTGGAGTCTATGGCTAGTAAAAGCTCATGACCTCAGTATTTCCTGAGCTTGTCCTTAAGCAGTAGAGTGGAAAAGACACTGGAAAAGAGAATTAGAACACCTGCACTAGTACCAGTTCTGCCATATATAGGCTGTAAGACCTTGGGGAAATCAGTTAACCTCTCTGGCCCTTAGGTTCCTTGTTGTCAAGATAAGTATCACATCACCTACTTGCTAGGGTTATTATGAGGTACAATGCAGTCATCAATAAGAAAGTTAGAAGCATTATCTAAATTCATGGAGCATTTCTAATGAGGTATAGCAAGATAAAATTTCAAATAATTCTGGAACTGTTGGGGAGAAGAGAAATGAAATGCTGGTAGGGGATGAGCTCTGAGGTTATGGTTTAAGCATCCCTCTGTTTAGAACCCTCCATGAGAACATAGCTATATCTATGTGGTAGAGGTAGCATTGGGGAAACTTTGTTCTCTGAGCTTAAGGGAGGTAATCTGGAGTTCATCCCACTTTATAAAATTAAAATAAATTGAGGGTCTTTAGTCCATTTAATTAATATTTTTAAATGCCTACTCAAATATCTGAATTATGCTATGTACTAGGAAATAAAATATGAATAAGAAGGAGTGGTCCCTGTCTTCAAGAAGCTCCAAGTCTAATGGGGGAGACAGATGTGTATATAGATAAATTCCAATACTGTGTAATGAATGCTATAATTAGGTGGGGTTACACAAGGTTTAATTAGAAGGTAAATGAAGAATTATTAAGTCTTCTGCTTGGATGAGTGGGAAAAAGCTTCACAGAGGAGGCACCCTTTCAGTGAAAACTTGAATGCTGAGTACATGTTTATTAGGTGGAGAACCTGGGGAAGGAAGAAGGCATTCCAGGCAAAGGCAACTGCCTGTGCAGAGAAATAGACGCATGAGAAAGCATGTTGTATTCAGCAAATTGTAAGTTTTTCAGAATATCTAGAACCTAGATTATGAGAAGGCAAATGGCAAGAAATTAGTCTAAGTAGGCTGGTAATGAAGGGCCTGTTTGTGTATAACAATGGTAATAGGGCAAAAATAGCAGTGGAGTCGGCTACTTGTTGAACAACAACAACAAAAATAATAATAATGGAGAGAAAGTGGGAGGCAGAAAGAAAGTCAGATGATAAAGAGCCTGAATGTAGTGTGGAAAAGGCAGTGGCTGTCAAAAGCATGTACCATACATTATGTAATAATAACCTATTCCCAGAGTTGTTAGAGGGACAAATAAGATTATAGCTAGAAAAGAGCTTTATAAATTGAATAGTGCTGTTCATGTGGGAGAAATGATTATTACACTGCATCTTCGGAAAGGCATAGCGATCAAGAGCACAGGCTTTGGAGTCAGTCTGCTTGGCTTTGGACCTTGGTGTGCCATTTACTAGCCTTATCATCTTGGACAAGTTCTATAACCTTTCTGTGACTCACTTTTACTGATTCACAGAATGGGGATAATAATAGTACCTACATTATCGGATTGTTGTGAGGTTTAAATGAGTTAATATAAGTAGCATGCTTAGAAAAAGTGTATTTTTTGAAAGCAGTCAGTAAGTGTTAGATTAGTCTTTTCTAACTGACAATGCCCCTTTTGCCTCCATCATCATCTCATTTGAGCAGCTCAGTGAAACAGAGAAGGCAAGGAATATTATCTCCACCACATAGCTTACTTTCTTTCCGCTCCCCAGCACTGGTGGTTCCTGGGGCTCTTCATGGGCTGTCTGAGAGCTAGAGATTCTCAGGACAGCAGATGCCCAGATTTTATCCAGCCCACCATTCCCCAGTCTGACCATTGTCACTTCTCCATCTCCAGGCTTCCGAAACTTGCATGTGGACGACCAGATGGCAGTCATTCAGTACTCATGGATGGGGCTCATGGTGTTTGCCATGGGCTGGCGGTCCTTCACCAATGTCAACTCCAGGATGCTCTACTTTGCCCCTGACCTGGTTTTCAATGAGTAAGTGCTCATAAGTCCAAAACTCACATAAACACAGCATCCTGGCTATGTCTGTTTGATGGTAATGATGGTAGTAACAGTGGTGGCTAGCCCATTTAACCTATATATGAGGCAGTAGAGGCCCCTTCTAGCTTGTACAATCTGAGGTGCCTTTGCTTGACAAGAAGGCAAATTGGTAGGAGACCAGGGGGGGGGCGGGTACTGAGGCCATCCCTTTCCCACCCAAGACCCAACCTTGGTATTTTGGTCATGTTTCTGACATGTTTTTTAACCTATCTCAAAACCTCATATCAAGGTCCTTTCCATTCACTCTGACCAGCATAGGGAATGGGCATAGAGACTCTAGCTGTGAGGGCTAAAGTTCTTTTGGTCCCTTTTGCTCATCAAGGGCTACTGCCAGTCACCATTTGTTGAGCAACTCCTTTATGCCAGAACTATACTAGATACTTTGTAAATCCTTCTCATTGAATCGTCATGAAAACCAGATTTCCCCTTTGTAAAGATAATTTTTTAATGAATGAGAAAAATTAGGCTCAACAAAATAAAGTGACTCACCCAAGTTAACAGAGCTAGTGCATGTTGGCAACAGATTTCAAAATATGTCTATGTAACCCCAAGTTTTTATACTTCTTCATGGTGGTTAGTGATGGTGAAGAGCAGCTCCATCACTCTGGCCATGTGACTTTGGCCCTGTCACTTTTCTTCTCTTAAAAACAGGTTTAGATGGTCAGTGTGGGTCCCCTGTATCCGGCCTGGAGAGGGCGGGCGGGCGGCCGCGGCGCGGCGCAGTGCTCCAGGGGCTGCCGAGGGAGCCGCTGGCGTGGGCCACCCCTCCCGGGGCCAGGGCCCCACCCGCGGCTGTGGTGAGCCGCTCCCCGCCTTCGGCTTCCTCCCGATGTGGGTCCGGCGCCTGGGGGTGAAGCTGAAAACCCAGGGGAAGGCTCCGCTTGAACATCTGGGCCGCCCACCCGCAGACCATGTTCCCTGGGAGCATCTGACGTCTCAGCTGCTGCGGGTCGTTCCCCCGGGCAGGCCTCCGTGGGCCCTGGCCCTTTTTCGGGGGTGCCGGGCAGCCATGCCTGGCAGCCCCCGCTACAGCCACGCAACCCAGCAGGCCCAGAGTAGGGTTGCCGTCCCTCCCGGGCAAGGGGGTCCAGCTGGAGCTCGGAGGAGATGCTGGTCCCCAGGAAGATG